AACTTTCAATGGCCTCTTAGTTTCACCGATGTATGATTCTCCACTCTTTAATTTTTTACAGATTCTTTAAGGAATTTCAAATCAATTTATATCACATCAGACATTAGTCCGAGCTAATGAAATAAAATATTTATTATGAAAAAAAAAAGAAAGAAAAATACGCCCAGGAATGAACCAACATTAAATAGTTATAAAAGTATATGAAAGAGTCACCAGAAACTTACATTATACTGCTACCCAGTAAGACCGAAGAAAAGCAGATGTGCTGCATTCTACAAATGCTCTGCAGCCGTTTCTGAAGAGTGATCAATGAATACTGAATACTCAATACTTTTTCTTTGCGATCTTGAACCCCCCTCAATATTTATAAAGATCCATATGCCGAGGTGGCAACTTTGCTCGGGGCACCGTACTAAGGTAAAATGCTTAATACGCATTCGTGCAAAGTTTGCGTATTTGGAGATTGTTTTATATTTCTATACCCTGTAATACATATACAGTGTGTCCGCAAAGTATGGAATAAATTTGATATTTCCAGAACCAAAGGTCGTTTTACAAAAATCTGAAATACGTCGATTTTTAACTTTAATATTCTACATTCCACAACAATATTTCATTATACAGGGTGATCCATATTAATGTGATGACGCCATCGGTAATTTTTTTAAATGCAACACCCTGTATTTGGTGTCAGTTTTAGATAATCCGTAACGAGCTGATTCCTAAAAGGTATGATACTTGGGGTCTAACGGACAGAATTTGAAAGATGTGCGCTTAGCAAATAAATTTTATTGATATCTAATAAAAGTAGAAATTAATCAGATGATTGATTCAACAATGGGAAAGTAATCCAGTAATAAATACATGACTTTATTTTAAAAGTTCGAACTGGAGTCCTTACTGTAGTTGACAGTAACCGTGCTAACAGGTATTTCTAATTTATTTAAAAAAAACTAGGCGGCTAGGCGGCTAGTTTTTTTTTTGTTATTGTGAAATGTCATTATTGCCGATTGACGTTCAGTAACTGTTGAATAGGACAGTAGTTGTTGTATTAATTCGTGAATTTTCTGTAGTATTGCTTCAAATCAACTTGAAGTAGTAATGAATTTAAGTGCAAAGCAAAGAATTGAAATACTTATGATGATTGGCTATGGAGACAGATCGCGAACTCAGATGGAACTGTGTAAATTATTTAATGAAAAATATCCAGAAAGACGCACAACGTAGTCAGCAGTAGGTAAGATTGAAAAGAAATTTCGAGAAACTGGTACAGTTGAAAATGCACGCAAATCAGGTCGTCCTTCTGTAAATGATGATACAAAACTAGATGTTCTACTTGCTTTTGAAGATGTGCACACTTCTGTTCGTGAGGTTAGTCATGATTTCGATGTTAGTGAAACAACTGTACACAAAGTATTAAAACTGGAAAAATGGCATCCCTTTGAAATCGAACTTCTACAGGAATTAAACGAGGATAATCCAGATAGAAGAATAGAATTTTGTGGAGCCATGATGGATAACTGTCACCGAGACCGTCTCCTCGTAAAAAATATATTTTTTTCTGATGAAGCCACTTTTACAATAAATGGTGGGGTCAACCGTCTGAATTGTAGGAAGTGGGCCAAAGAAAACCCCCACTGGATGCGTCAGCATCATACACAATACCCGCAAAAGGTAAATGTATGGGCTGGCATTGTAAGAAACAGGATCATCGGACCCTACTTCTTCGACGGTACTTTAGACAGGCCAACATACCTTCAGTTTTTAAGGGGATATCTTGTAACTACTTTAAATTATTTATTTATTCACCAGTAGAATTAATCCTGGATGTTTTGATGAAAGTTCATGGTTTCAATCATGTTAAAATCATGTCAAAAGCAGGATCATTTACGATTTCACGGTTTTGAGTCCCAATAAAGATGCCTTCCTTGACTTTAGCATCACTCAACCTGGGAAACTTTGCTCTCAAGTACTTAAAAGCTTGTCCTTCCTGGTCCATGGCCTTCACAAAGTTTTTCATTAGTCCCAACTTAATATGTAATGGGGGAAGGAGAACATCCTTAGGATCTACAAGAGGCTCGTAAACTACATTTTTCTCATTAGGGTT